TTTTCCCCCCACTAATGTCCTTTATAGAAAAAGGTGGGAAAATCCAGTTCAAGATCAAACATTGCTTTGATGTCATGTCTCTTTAGACTGCTTTAATCCTTCATGAACTGAATGTTTTTGATGTGCACCTGTCAGTCTTTTGCAGAATGTCTCTTAATTTGAGTTTGTCTGCTGTTTCCTTGTGGTTAGATTTAGACTGTGCATTTTTGGTAGGAAAGCCACAGTAACAATATTGTGTCCTAAGGGCATTCAAGCAGGAGGTACATGAGGTGTCTTTGCCCCATTACTGATGTTAACTTTAATTACCTCTTGCTGGGTGAGGTGTCAGAGCCCCGGCATCAGAAAGTGGTCCCCTCGCAGGTTGGTAAGAAGAATTTACAGACAACAGTATAGGTTTGAAAAAGGAAAGTTTTATTAGAAAGGAAGAACACTGCAGAAGAGTGCAGTGAGGTGCTTCAGTGAGACAGGACTGAGTGTGCTACAGCGGATTTTCCTTAGGGGTATTTATGAACCCTAAAGCGGTAGCTTAAGGGTAATTTGGACCATGTTAGCCACATAGGTCATAATAAATGATGACATTTGTAGACATTGGTGCCTTAATGTCAGCCAGGGATGCACAAGGAATTTCTATATGCTTGCATTCCAGAGATATATAGAAATTCTAGTTACTTATAAATTTTGGGGAAAGAAACCTGGAACCAGATGCTTGCTTTAGATAGTAGGAAAGTCCAATTACTTCTGAATTCCTCCGATAAAGAGTTTTGCCTCTGGATGTTCTGCTGGATGGCCACCAGGTGATCTTTGCTCTCCTCATTTTCTCCCTGACAAATATCTTGGTTGAATCTTTCCCGCTTTATATTCCCCCATGCTCATGTCTACCTGCTGCCTATTGCGGTCTCAAGGAAGGGAAAATGACACAGTGAAGAGGGGCATCGGGTATGTCTGGCTACTTCCTGCTGAAAGGGGGCATAGAGAGGATAAGTTGTTTTTTTCCCTTTCTTGCTCTCTGTCATGAAGGGAATGAAAGATCATGAAAAACTTGCTCATGGGGAAAGACCAGATTCCAGCAAGAGGCCCCACGTAAATGGGAGTTGCTGTTGCAGGCCGGTATTGGGATTGCCTAGTCATCTGTAGGTGGAATCCTTGTAATCTGGGAGATATAAACTTAATGAGAGTGTTAAAGAGGCAGGACCAAATATTAAAAGAATAATAATGAAGAATAAAGGTCTAAGGAATGGGAGAAGCCAAGTGATTTCTGGAAACCAATCAGTAAAGGCTTTGGCACAGTTTTGGTTGCTTTGGGAAAGTGTGTGTAGCCATTTGGCTTATTTGAACATTTATGTTCAAATTAGTGATACAGGAGCTAGAAAGAAATTATTTAGGCAGATAGTGAGAGCAACAGAGTCCTCCGCAGAATTTCTCTTTTAACAAAAGGCAGCCCCCAGAATCATTTCTTTTCTAACAAAGAGCAGCCTGAAAACTCGAGCTGCAGACATAGATAAGCAAGCTGGAAGCTTGCACGGGTGAATGCCAGCAGCTGTGCCAATAGAAAAGGGCTACCTGAGAGTCAGGCATGTTCGACATGGGGGCTCCATCTTCCCTTTCCTTTGTCACCACGTGTACAGTAAAGCAGCAGGCAACATGGCACCAGCCAGGTAGAGAATCCATCTGCATATTACAAGATTGGGGTGGGGGTGGCCAGATTCTTGAATGCTATGCAAATGGCATGCCCGGTCCAACCAATCTTTTACACCCTACGTAAATCAGACACTACCTCCTCAAGCTCATCTGTAAAACTTTCTGCATTTCACCACGGAAGTGGCAACCCACTTCTCCAGGACGCTTCTCTCTGCAGGAGATAACTTTTCTCTTTCTTTCACTTATTAAACCTCCACTTTTAACTTTACTCTTTGTGTGTCCACATCCTTGATTTCCTCGTCATGAGTCAACAAACCTTGGGTATTACCCCAGACAAATGACGCTACTTTAGTTTCCACTTTCCCAGACACGTTAATGTAGGTGCAACAGGTTTTGTTGACAACAGCACAGACTCCTCCTTGTTCAGCTAAGAAGTATTCCAGAGCTGGTCTATTATCAAAAGCCATTCCTGCTAGTGAGTCCAAAGGCTTTTCTAGCACCAATAGACTTGCACCAGTTTTTGCTAAGGCTATTTCAAGGGAGGTGGTAAGTTCCCATAGTATGATTTCATAGTAGCTAAAACCTCCCTAAGGGTTGAGAGTTGTGATATCTCCTTTAGGTATCGTCTGCTAGGTTTTTCTACAGAAAAGCAGTGGCTTTTTCTCTTAGAATTAATAAGTAATTTGTGGGAAGTTATTTTGAGACCACATAAACATCCAGTATATCATCAAATTACTACTCATTGATGATTTTTTTCTTCTTAAGCTTTTCCTTGCATCTCACAGTTTTCTCAAGGTAAACTGACAATATCCTTCTTTTCTTTATATAAAACATTTTGTAATGGTTTGGGCAATTCTACTGCAATTGAATTTTTAAATTTTTATTCATCAAGTGTCCACTTGTGAGAATTTGTTAGAAAAATTTTAAACTCTCTATTCCTCTCTTTGTGTGTAGAATTACAGCAGATAATTTTAATGCAATAAAGCTAGTTCTGTAATTCAGCAAAACTGTTTAAAGACTCATTGATTAAAACGCACTGCCAGTAAATACATAAGAAGGCATCAATTTGATAAATCTCAAAATGGGCTTCCAGGGAAGAGGTGAAAGTGAGAAAACTTGGCATATTTAAATTAAGATGCACTTTTAAGTTAAGATACATGTTCCTCCAGCAAAACAGCTAGCCAAAGCTCTCAATTTGAAATTAAATGTTGACGACTAATTGCTTTCCACATTCTATTTCCTCAAAGTTGCTAGAGTGAATGTTTCTTTGTTTCACAAATACTTATTTGAATAATAGAGATTTGTATTTTATTCTGCATAATCTTTCCATCTCTCAGGATGTTCTTTCCCTGCCTTTAACTCTGGGAATGTAAAATTCATTCACGGGTGGCAAATAGAGAAGAGCTGTAGAAGAAATTATGGAACTCCTACTGGGCTGAAGCATGAAATTATTCACCCGAACCAGAAATACATTAATTCAGCTCTGTCGGGATTACCTAAAACTACTTGTGGCTGTACGTTCGCTAAGGATCCCAGTAGGGTGTCGCTTTAAGAGCCTTTAGCAGTCAAGAAAATATATCATCTCAATGACTTCAGCAGAAGGTCTTTAATAAGGTGGTCCATTCTTGTATAGCTCCACTAGATCAGCAAAAAGCACTATATACCTGTAGCACACTAGCCCCCAACCTTGACTCTACATTGTAACCACATGACTCCCATTCTGAGAATCTACTGGTATTGATCTGAGTCTAATGGCCTGGCATTCAAGGCTTTTAAAAGCTCCCCAGGACATTCTAATGGGCAGCCAAGGCTGGGAACCACTTGTGTAGAAGGTTTTTATTTCCCCCTTAAGGCCTAAGGAATAAAATTCTAGTCTCCCTATTTATGCAGATTTCTGTGAATTACTATACTTTCCAGATCCCCCACTAGTGTATTTCTATACAGAGGGTGAATAAAAAAACAATTTTTATAAGCTGTTTTGTACACTGGGGGTTGCTAAAAACTTCGCAGACTAATGGACTAAAAAATATCTTACTTGGCTTAAGTTTCACCTAACAGAGTAATGAATTAGAAATACCTTATTCTCCTCATTCAGTTCCACCATACCTGTCACATCATTACCTTCTCTTCACGTTTGTTTCCATCACTATGATGCTTTCAGATATTGGCAGCTAAATGAGCTGGTTCTGGGGTTGTTATAATTATTTTAGTAGTGTTTATCGAGTGCCTCCTAGCTACCAAATGCTTTATGCATAACTTCTAAAATTTTATTTTAAGCAGAAATTTATCAGCTTGAAATAAGAGAAAGCCAGGATTAGAACCTGGGTCTGAAAGGTTCCAACATCATTGCTGTGTCTACTGATGAAGACCCTGTAGAAGACATTTCCCCTCTGTTGATTAGTCCAACACACAGCCCATTCCTTTTCTTGGCAATTGTTATTGGCTTAGAGGTTATCACATATTATAGGATCTCCTGGGAAAAAAACTCCGCTATATTCCACGGTTGAAAGATAGGTTAATGCTGTCTTTCTCCTGAAAAACATGGTAAGGAAGCATGGAGCCTTGATTTCTGCTGGCTGCCATTTTATGACACGTGGGAAAAAAAAAAAACAAACACAAAAACAAGAAAACCCCGAATTTAAAGGCAATGCTGAGAACAATGTAAGGCTCCAAAAAGTCAGCAGCAGGGTCAACATTATCCACGGGCAGCTGCTTACATAAGTGATTTCATGGGCACTGGAAGGATTTCCCAAAACAACTCCTTTCTGCTCTTAGGTGCCTGGAATTCCCTTAAAGGAGAGACTCTGATTAGGTATTTAAAATGAAGACTTAATATGCAGACAGCTTGGAACAAGGTAACTCACTGACTCATATCCAGTGGTTGACACAATAATATTTTCTGGGAGCAGATTTGGAGGTGAACACACAGAGATGCAGATGGCAGAAAGGAAATCTGAAGGAGGTAGAGAAAGGGATGCTGAAAAGGAAGGTGGTGGTTGGCAGGAGGCTGGATGGTTCTAGGACTAGCGCCAGGAGAGGTCATGGAATTTCTTTCCCCAGCAATATATTCTGGCTGAAATGTCTTCCATATCCTCCTGTTTGAACAAATGCAGGTAGCTTAAAGGATTGCTCAGGGATGTTTTTTCTTTTTTGGTGTACATTTCTATGAATTTTAACACATGTATAGATTCATGTGAACACTGCCATAATCAGGATAAAGAACAGCTCCACCACCTCAATAAAGCATGTCATGCTACATTTTCTGGTCATCACCTTCCCCACCTATAATACCTGGAAACCTCTGATATGTCTTCCAGCACTTTATTTTGAGACCGTCAAATAAATAGAATAATACAATGGTAAATTTTTGAGACTAGCTTCCTTTTACTAAGCATAATGTTATACAGGCTGTCGTGTATCAATAGTTTGTTCCTTTTTACTGCTGAGTACCATTTCATTGTATGTATCTACCATGACCTGTTTATTCATCCATTAGTTGAAGAACATTTGGATGCTGGAAGTGGATATCTTTGTCTTGTTCCTAATTTAGGGGCATTCAGTCTTTCAGCATGGAGTAGGATGTTGGCTGTAGGGTTTTTGTAGACACACTTTACAGAGTTGAGGAAGTTCTCTTTTATTCTTAGTTTGCTGAAAGTTTTTGCCATGAATACATGTTCAAGTTTGCCAAATGCTTTTTCTGCTTAAATTAATATGATCATGTGTTTTTTTTCTTCTTCATACTGATAGTTTGACAGATTCCATTGATTCATTTTTGATGAACAAACCTTATATCCTTGAGAAAAATTGCCCTCGCCATGGTGTATTGTTCCTTTTAATGTTCCTGGATTTGAATTTGTTGATGAATGTTGCTGAAATATTTTGTTGATGATGTTCGTGTCTATGTTCATGACGGATGCTGGTCTGAGCTTTTATTGTACTATCTTTGCCCAGTTTTGGTACCAAGGTAATGCTGGCTTCATAAAATGAGTTGTGAAATGTTCTCTCTTCTTTTGTTTTCTGGAAGAAAATGTGCAGAATTAATGTTATTTCTTCTTTAAATGTTTGATAGAATTTGCCCACCAAACCATCTGGGCCTGGAAATTACTTTTTCAGGAGGCCTTTATCTAAAAATTTATTTGTAGATAAATTATTTTTTATTTTATGTTATCTATTTTTAGACAAAAGTACAGATATAGTACTATTTAGGTTATCTATTTCATCAAAGATGAGTTTTGATAGTTTGTAGTGTTTGAGGAAATACCTCATTAAATCTAAGTTGCCAGATTTGTGTGTGTGGAGTTGCCTGTCGTATTGCTTGCTATCTTTTTTTTTTTTTTTTTTGAGATGGAGTCTCGCTCTGTCCCCCAGGCTGGAGAGCAGTGGCCGGATCTCAGCTCACTGCAAGCTCCGCCTCCTGGGTTTACGCCATTCTCCTGCCTCAGCCTCCTGAGTAGCTGGGACTACAGGCGCCCGCCTCCTCGCCCGGCTAGTTTTTTGTATTTTTTAGTAGAGACGGGGTTTCACCGTGTTAGCCAGGGTGGTCTCCATCTCCTGACCTCGTGATCCACCCCTCTTGGCCTCCCAAAGTGCTGGGATTACAGGCTTGAACCACCGCGACCGGCCGCTTGCTATCCTTTTAATGTCCCTGGGGCTTGTCCTGATTTCCTCTCTTTCATTTACGATCATGGTAATTTGTTTCTTTATTGTCTCTTTTCTCTTTCTTTCTCTCTTTTTTCTATCAGTCTTGCTAAAAATTTACCATTTTTATTGCTCTTTCCAAAAAACTAAGCTTTTGTCTCACTAGTTTTGCTTTTCTGTTTTCAACTTCATTTACTTCTGCTATTTATTTTTTCTTCTGTTTGCTTAGTTTTATTTTGATTTATTTTCTACTTTCTTAAGGAGAAATTTCCATTGTTGATCTGAGACTTTTTTCTTTTCTAATATAAGCATTTAATGGCTTACATTTTCTGCTAAGCACTTATTTCCCAGAGTCCTCAGATTACTCCTCATTGCCTTCTTTCCAAGCTTTGTCGCTGCGTTCAGCAGGAGACACAAGGTGTGGTATGCTTCCTCTGTCTGACCCAGAACTGGCTAGTCTTTGAAAATACAATTTTTCTAGGAATTTTATGCCAAAGAAAATTCCTCTATTTCCAAGCACACACAGCGGCAAGATAAAGGTATGGCATTTTTCTGGTGGTTTGCCAGAAGTGCATGCTTAAAGCTAATGGCTACCATGAGAAACTTTTTTTTCATGATTAGTGCTTAGTTTTCGAACAATTTATTATTAATTATTATTAATTGTTGCTCCAAACTTCTGTTACAGAGGATATATTATTAACCTCTCTTTAGAGAAGAAAGCCAATGCCCTCACAAAAGACATCTTTTGGCCGAAGTGTCTGAAGGCTCAGTCAAGCCCCCAATTCAGATGGCACAGGAGAAAAAAAAATTGATCCTCTGTAGATATTCCTATGGCCTACCTAGTTTGTTCTCTAATCCATTTGGCTTGACCTAGAAGTAGCAAGTCAATTCCAATGAATTGAGGTAGGGAATCTCATTGCACTATTTGTTTTCCGGTGTTTGCAAAGGAAAAAAGTCAGGGAATGAGCCAGGATTATGCTTTGGAATCCTGAGGCCACAGGCTACTGCTCTTTATTCTCCTTCATCAATGATACAAGGATACCTTGTTATCACTCTTTCTCCACCCCAGCCACATATATTTTAATATTTAGTCTTTGCATTGGCTAGGAAAGCATCATTTCTGCTGCTAATCTATCTGTGTAGTCATGGTCAAGATTTTCTTTATTAATTCATATAGAAATCAATATAGGCTGGTGCACTGGCTCAGGCTTGTAATCCCAGAACTTTGGGAGGTGGAGGCAGGTGGATCACTTGAGCTCAGGAGTTTGAGACCAGCCTGGGCAACATGGTGAAGCCCTGTCTCTCCTAAAAATATAAAAATTAGCTGGGCATGGTGGCTCATGCCTGTGGTCCCAGTTACTCGGGAGGCTGAGGCGGGAGAATCTCTTGAGCCAAGGAGGTAGAAGCTGCAGTAAGCTGTGATCATGCCACTGCACTGCAGCCTGGGCAACAGAATGAGACCCCGTTTCAAAAAAAAAATCATTATAAACAGTGCACAATCACTCAGGTGAATGTGGGAGGCCCCAGCCTATATACAATGGCCCCTGAAATCCCACATTTTGTCACAATGGTATAGGCTGAGCCTTTCCATTAGTGAAGGCAGACTAAAGAACCCCCTTCAAAAGCAGAAATCAAGATATTTTCCATTCATTATTGCAACTCCATAATTTGATCTTTGGTTGTAATAATAAGAGTCGAGCTTTGAGGCTGGTTTCTGAACATTTGGATAAGCAAATTAAAATAAACCTAGCAACTGAACAGCTCTTTTCTGCCACTGAGCAGCTTATAGAGGATCACCATATGTGTTTTATACCTAGAATACCAATTTTTAAAAAATTTAACCCAGAAAAAAATTTGAACCCAGAAAAAATGAATTAAGCCCTAAAATAATTCTCAACCTCATCCAAATTTTCTTCGGTGATTTATAAGAATCCCCTGAAATCCTACAGCATCTTCACCACAACCGCCAATCATATTTGGGCAACAGATGTGCAGAAGTGACAGTTAGCAGAGAATTCTGGTTAACAGAATGTCAGCTATTCAAGAGTTCACTTAGGTACCAGGAAGAATTTATTTAAATATTGATGTGGATGACAACCTCTTCATCTGAAAGACACACGCACTCACTGACCTGCCTGAAACTCCTCTCCTGTGCCTGTAGTCATCTTCCGGCAGCATCTTGGCCACAGATTGTCACCATCTGGATCATAATACAGGAAAAACATGATGCTTAGTAAAACTGAGATGAAGGTGATACCAGGAGCTGTCAGCATCATAATATATACATACTGGGAAGAAACTTGAACTTGCCTTTTGCAAAGAAGCTCTGATTTCCTCAGTGATGAGTCCAGGCTTCCTGTACCAGTTGCTCAGACAGCATCACGTTTTCTTGTTTTCTTGTCATCCAGACGTGACTTGCTGAGGGCCTGAGGTATCTTGAATTTTATTTATCTCCTAAATGATAGAAGGAAGTAGAGAAGTGTGTAATTACTAGTTCCTCATACTCACCGGAATCCTTGTGAGAGGATCCCACCATGCCTATTCATCGGCCACAGCATTCCCTGCTTAGATGTTTTCCAGCCTTTTCTTTTCCTGTGACCATAGGTTTTTCTGTTACAGCATGATACACTAGATCTGACTGGGCTCCTTCTAGTCCCACAGACAAGCCAAAGGTTCTTCTCTTCCTGTTGGAGGTTCTAATTCTACAGACTCTGTCCTCTCTGGCTCCCTTCATCTTGGGAAAAAACACACACATGAACCAAGACAGCTTCCAAATCATTAAGTTATATGTGATTAGTAACCAAAAATTTACCAATCACAGACAGATACACTAATTAGTTTATGGAAACACAAGGAGAGTCAAGACAGGCCATATGTAATTTTCTATGTAGATGTGTGTAGTTATTCCTTGTATCTTTTCCTAAGCACCCTCTTCCTGCTTGGGATGTTAGATCCAGCCTATGCTGCTGTTACAGATCTTTCAGCCAAAATTCCTTGGCACAGATTTTGATGGTCAGTTTTATTGATTCAGAAAGTTTTTTCTTTTTTTACTTCAGTGTATATTCATGTCTGCAAGAGGGACTCACTTAAGCTAAACTAACAATAGATTTATAAACTAGGTTATCTATGTATTATTAATTTACAGGCAGATTCAGACGTAGCCAAAAAGCCACATCTGATAACCAGTAAGTGGCAATCCCTTAACTAAGGTTTAGACTTGTTGGAGAAAAGTTGAGATGGAGCAGAAGGTTATTTGGTGATGTGCTATCTGAATAATCAAAATTAGATGACCCTAAGACAGTGGTTTCCACCAGGGGTGGTTTTGGCTCCAAGGAGGCATTTGGCAATGTCTGCAAACATCTTTGATTGTCATAATTGGAAAGGAGGGTGCTATTGGCATCTGCTGGGTAGAGGCCAGGGACGCTGCTCAGCATCCTCTGATACACAGCACAGGCCCCTGCAAAAAAGAATTATTCACCCGCAACTATGAATCGTGCTGAGGTTGAGAAAGCCTGCCGTAAAAGAGAGCTCTACCTGGGTCTCACACTCCTTTTGTCATCTTCTCCTTCTCTGCATGGAGGCGAAACACAGCAAAGCATAACAAACAAAACTCCTCAATAAATCAAATCAAATCATTAACTTCCCTATGGAGCCAACAAAATGCTAGCTATTAAATGTCCCAGTCGTTCCACAGAATTAGCTGCGAATGCTTTCTGGCACATTTATTCCTCCTCTGAGTGAGAGGTGACGGCATCATTTAAGAATACGTATTTCTTTTCAGGCATCATATGCATGAGAGGAGGAAAGCGTGCTGGGAGGAAACATCTTAGGGTTCTGATCAAGTCATAAAAGGGCAAAAAGCACACACTCCAGGCTGGGTGAATGCACAGAGAACTGTCCACAAGGAAAGATTAAATAATTACTGTTAAATAGCTCATCAAAGCTTTGGGGGTGGGGGTAAAAAGATAAGCTTCTTTAAGGAGAGCCCTGCTGCAAATAAGAAATGCAAGCTTCTCCTGAAAGCTTTTGGATTGGGGTGAGTAGGGAGGGATTAGGATAGAGGTCAGGGCCTGGGGAGTCAGAGCTGCAGGTTGTGGAGACAGCCAGAGAGCCACGGTAAGAACAGGAGGAGGATTTTTGGGATTTGGGGTGGTAGAGGAGCTGGAGCTGACGTAGGCCCCTGCCCTTTGGAGATTACTGTGGTCCTGCCAGTGACCTCCCCCAACAGGGCTCCGTACCCCAAAGTTTCAGGTCCTTTATAAGAGTCAGGCAAGTTGATCCCAAATGATACAACGCAGCAAAGCAGCACTGGCTCCCCAGGCATAGTGACCAGACCCAGAGGAGACACACGGAGAAACAGGGGTTGCCCCAGGGCAGGCAATGCTGATGTTAGTGGAAAGCTGGAGGTCTGGGGCTGCAGGCAGGCGTAGAGCTGGGTGGCTTCCGATGAGACTCGGGCCTGCCAGGGGGAGGCTGTGGGACTCTGAGCTCCATCTCCATTTCCATAAAATGAGGAAGTTAGATTAAATCATAGATCAGATTTTTCCCCATTCTGAAGTGTCTGGTTTTATCATTCATATCTACTGCATACTGTTCATCAGCTGGTGCCTACAGTTTTAACCTCAACTTCCTTTCACTAGCTTTGCTCTGTCCTCAAGTTAATGGTTAAATCTGAAAAACATTTTTTTTTATTAAAAGGTAATTGTTTTGAAAAAACAATAATGCAGTTTTGAGAGAGCCTTTGTCTGGGTTTGGCCTCCCCTAGAACCCAAGCTAGAGATAAGGATTGAATATAAGCACTTCTTGTGACATGATCCTAGGAAACACCACTAGGTATAGGGAAGTGAGACAGGGGAGGGACAGGAAGAAAATGAAGCGTGTTTTGTGGAGTCAGTCAGGCCATACTGGAGCTTATCTGCTTTGAGGCCACTAACTCCTTTTTACAGGCTGAAATGTCCTTGGGCGGAGAGTCACAAGTGTTCATGGTTAGCAGCCTTTGGTGTATACAGGTGAGTGCCACATGATATGGATGACTCACTCACAGCATCTGCTGCAAGACCTGCAGGCAGGAGTGGGTTGGGAGCCCAGTGGCTCTGTTCTCATGGACAGTGTAGCTTGGCCCTGAGACTGAAATGAAAGGCAGGTTATCTCAAGGCTACAGGCTGCTCTTGGGGTCATGGAGATCAGGACTAAGAAAGCTAACCCCAAAAGAAGGCAAGGAAGAAAAAGGGCTCCCAGGGGAAGGAGGCCAGAGGGTGTGAGGCCCTCTTTATGTGCAGGTGGCAGGGGGATATAGGCTGAGCAAGAGCAGCAGAAGCTTCACTTCTAGACTTCCCTGAAGCAGTAGGAGGGTAACCTCCACCTAGGAGAAATTTCTCATTGATGTGTCCTGGCCAGAAGATGGGAAGTGAAGGTCTTTCTCTTACAAAGAGCAATGCAAGTAAACAATTCAGAGGTGTTCAAGGCAGTTACCTTTAGTCTGCAGCCCCCAAAGCCTTGAGGGCATTGGATTATTGAATGAGGTCTGAGAATTCACACAGACCCTAAGCATTGCCCTATCTATTGAATAAATGTAATGCCTGGCACTTATATGTCCTATAATGTTTCAAATACAAATTCTTTTAAAGGTATGACTGATTATACAATAGTCTTTAGTCATGTATTTTTTAAAATTAATCAATAACAATACATGCATACATGGGGTTATAAAATTACTATGACTTTTAGAAGAAACTGCAGTTATGGAACTTTACACACGTATCATTTCATCTGACCCTCACAAAAACCCTCTGAGGCAAGCATTATAGTATCTCCATTTTGCAGAGGTTAACTAAGGCTCAGAGAAGTTTGGTGACTTACTTGAAGTCACAAAGCTAGAAATTGGAGGATCCAACTTAAGACCTGTTGTGCTGCCTCTGCACTGCACACTTCCAGTGTAAATTCATGTACAAATAAGTACACACGTACAAAATAATCTAAAAGAAAAAGATAATCAAAATAACCAAAAAACTGAGAGTTGAACTACCATTTGGCCCAGCAATCCAATTATTGGATATACACTCTCAGGAAAATGAATCATTCTACCAAAAGGACACATGAACCCGTATGTTCACTGCAATGCTATTCACAATAGCAAAAACATGGAATCGACCCAGGTGCCCATCAACAGTGGCCTCGGTATTTAAAATGTGGTACGTATATACCATGGAATACTACATAGCCATAAAGAAGAATGAAATCACATCTTATGCAGCAACATGGATGCAGCTGGATGCCATTTTCCTAAGTAAACTTATAAACACAAAACCAAATACCATATGTTCTCACTTATAAGTGAGAGCTAAACATTGGGTACACATGTACATAAAGATGGGAACAATAGACAAGGGGGACTGCTATAGAAAGGTGGGGCAAAGGCTGAAAAACTGCCTATTGGGTACCGTGCTCACTATGTTGATTATGGGCTCAATCATACCCCGAACCTTAGCATCACACAATATACCTTCGTAACAAACCTGCACATGTGCCCCCGAATTCTAAAATAAGAGTTGAAAAAGAAAAAAACCCACAAAGTTTTAAATGTGTCTTTAAAGGATTTTAAAGGAATCTCTTAAGTGAATCAGGAAAATGGAGTTAATGCAGTGATTCTCAACTGGGGGCAATTTTGTTTCCAGGGGACATTTGGCCACGTGTGAAGACATTTTTGTTGTTGTCACAACTGAGGGATGCTACTGGCGTTCAGTGAATAGAGATCAGGGATGCTGCTAAATGTCCCACGAGGCACAGGACAGCCCCCTACGACAAAGAATTCTCTGGCCAAAATGTCAATAGCACCAATTTTGGTTTGATTCTTTAAGTGGAACTCCTAAAGGCCAGGCCAGGGCACCTGAGCCTTTCTGTTACTCTGACTCCCTTATTTGGGTAAAACCAAAATAAGGCCCCGATGCCGTGGCTGTGCTCATGGAGCGCATCAGGCACTCTCCCTGCATGCTGTCTTCCGGCCCTGGAGGTGGCTTCTACACCAAGAACAAGCTGCTTTCATCAGTGGCCTTTTGGGTAATATATTTTTTAAATGTTTACCAAGTAACTGGAAGGTAAAAAATTAGAGAATAATTGAGAAAATATCCGTCCATGTCCATTTGTTCTTGGAAATCATGACCAGTATTAGAGTCACAAAGAGCAAGGTTGGCGTTCCAAGTACC